ATTCTATTCTATTCTATTCTTACAAAAGGTTATTATATGTTATCATTGTTTTGAAGCAAGTTATTGAGCACGGCTTTCTTTAAATGAAAGCAAATTGTATGAAATTGATACTTAAACAGCAGAAAGACCAAAACAACATTTTATTAATAACACTAACAGGTCTAGGAGAAACCAGTGGAAAGATAATAGCTTATTGGTGGCTTATTGATACTGTGCCACAGGGTCTCACACTCAGTTCAGTGTGAAGCAAATTTAATAAAGCCGCAACGTGCTGGAGTTGAGCTGTTATAAATCAACTTCACAGAGAAAACCTGTCACTGTAGCAGCAGGTGTAGAGTGTGAGGCAGAAGGCAGCAGCCAGATTCACTAGGCTGTTTGACATTTGCAGTTAAAAATATGTGGATTACTGTACTGAGTATATGACAGGTGTGCACAGTGAGAAACCCAGTGAGTGAGTGAGTGAATGAGTGAGTAAAGGTGGCTCGGTTTTTAGTGTAGTGCAGCCCTGCAGGTCAGAGGTCGCAGCGTAGCTACTCCCGACAGAAACGCTCGTCAACATCTGAAACCCCCTCCTCCCACACCTGTCTAACACCAGAATCAAGGAGACGTGTCAATCAAATTTTGTAATTTTCCAAAACTGATAATCTGTCAGTCACCCAGCTGGCATGACAGGGTCTGAGCTGACCCTCAGGCTTTCCTTTCATCCGCTACACAACTATTCCCGTCATTTTTAGTGTGTGCACAGGAGTGCAGCGCAGTGAATGTCTTCTAGGAAAGACTGTTAGGAAAGTGTTTGCTTTTATTCCCATATGTCGAGGTGTAGGTGCTGGTGAAATAAGGCTTTTAGTATATTCTTTATGCTCTCCTGTGCTGTGTGGCCTTTTCCTTGCCTGATTCTGTTGTTTGTATTGTATTTATTGTTGTGTGTTCTGGGTCAGGTCTTGGTTGGAAAAGAGTTTTTAATGTCAGTGACCCTTCAGCTGGTGAAATAAAGGATAAAGAAAAAGGAACGAACCTGCAGTTTTGACTGTGGATGCTACAGTCACTGCTGCTCCTAGAGCCTTATTGGTGGCAACCTGCTCTTTGTGTCTTTATGCTTTCCACACAATGCATGCTGGGACATGCTCCAGCTCCACAGCTCCTCTAAAAAAACAACTAGTAGCTTAAGAAAATCAATGAATGAAAAAAAAGGTGGTCCGCTATGGTAGCAGGTGGGTGGATGTGGTTCAGAACTTTGACCTGATGAGCAGCGCTGCAGTTAAAGAAATGAAGAACCACACACACAGTACAAATGAGAGAGGAGGGGATGTGCCAGGACAGCCCGTGTATGACACATCCGTCATCCTCTTGTTAGCAATTTGGCATGCAAACACACACACACACACACACACACACACAAAGACAGCTTGCTGGGCCAGATGGCCTCTTGGTGAGGAGCAGTGAGAAGCTCCACAGAAGGGTTGGGTTGATTTGTGAACCATGACCTCCACATACATCCCTCCTCCTGACTCCGGACAGCACGTGCACAGAAGAGGGATGGACAGGGATAAGTTCACTGTGTGAGTGTGTGTGTGTGTGTGTGTGTGGGGGTGGGGGGTGGGGGGGATTATACAGTACATTGACCGTTTGCTGTGCGAGATTTGATTTCCCATAGAAAAATTTGAGTGATCCATACTTATGCCTGGTGAATTGAACATAACTTGAGGTTTACTGATTATGATTTAATTTTAATTTAGCATCTAACCTATTAATGTTATGTATATCTTGATGAATAAATCACAGAATCCTAATTTCTTAATTTCTGTACCTTGAAATATGAACAAATATTTGTTTGTTTTGTTGTTTCCTACTAAACGATAAAAGGAATATCTGACATTTACTGACTGCTAACAATTCCATGATATAATTATTATTGCTCATTTATACTCTTCTTTCCAACTTTCTTTATTGGAGTTTTAAGACAGAGAATGAGTAAAGTCAAATCAGGTTTACTTCTGTAGCCTAAAATTACTAATCACACATTTGAAGATTTACAATTTGTACAGCAAAAGACACCCACTGTTCCCCCGTCCCGTGATTTGGATGAGGAAAAACTCCTGAATAAAACTCTCCAACGGGGGAATAAAAGGAGGACAAAAGGAGGAAAAAAGACAGAGCGACAGTGATCCTACTTTCAGGATATAAAACATGCAATAGATGATAAAAATAGATCATCTTGACAAGCTTTTTCTGATGCGATGTCAGTGGCTGCGCTTGTGCTGATCATTTTAAACATCACATTTAGGAGATTCAAAACCAGCATTTAAGTTGACGTGATCACACCATGATTCTGACCTTTGCTCCGTGTAGCAGACACAGCTCCTTTTTTCTAGTAGCAAGGAAGAAGGTCTGCCCCCTTCATATCGCCTTCTGGCTATGTGTGTGTATGTGTATGTGTATGTATGTGTGTGTGTGTGTGTGTGTATGTGTATGTGTATGTGTATGTATGTGTGTGTGTGTGTGGTGTCTGTGTGCATTCATGAGACCACCATCCGCCAGGGTGTGGTGAAAGCAGAACAGATTCATCACAGCTTGGCACGTGTGTAACAGTGTGTGTTTCCTTTGTCCTGTCTTTTCTTGTTTAGTGGCGAGTGATGCACACACACACACACACACACCCCCGCGCGCACACAGACAGACAGACACACACACACACACACACACACACACACACATACACCCTCTTCCTGAACTGTATTGACTTGTTGGAATATGTAATGTGCCTGGTGGATGTGAGTGTCAGTATGTTCCTCTTGTCTTCATGTTCTCTGACTGAAGACCATCTCTACTGAAGTCTACAGTGTGTCTGTGTTTCTTTTCCTTTAGGTGCAGTCTGTGTCATTTCCTCACAGTACACGATGTCAGTTTCATTTTTAATATCCAAATTGAGTGCTGTTATAATTTGCTGTTATTTATCACTGACGCTGGTATCAGTCCAATAATATTTAAGATATAAGCAGCTGTACCAGACATATACCCTGAAAAAATGATAAATAATAGTAAAAAACCTTTATGAATTTAAAAATGTTAAAACCTTTACTGAAATGATCTGCTGACTAAATATGGAAGTGTACGCAAAGCTTTTTTTTCCATATCACTTCTTTTTCACTTTTATCCACTGGTTTATGTTTAATGGACCTTAACGACTTAAATGAGGCCCTTCAGATATGCAGAGGAGGAGCAGGAGTGCAGGGGTTAAACATGTGAATTAACCTATGTTTATGGTTTGCACAGCTGTAACTCAGCATTTGATCCATGCCAGCAGCTGCGGGACCAAGATAAACGACATGAGCTGCCTCTTCAGTGTCGCTCTCTGCGCTGCTCCTCATCCTCACAAGCAAATTCACTTAACAGCTTAACACATATATAGAAAATAACCAGCCTCATTTTTTTAAGACCATCCAAAACATTTGATTTGGAGCTTTTCATTGGGTCTCGGCATTTATTAAGGGGCGCAAAAATTTTTGCACACTGCTCATATTTAATTCATGAAAACAAACTGGTCACGGACAAGATGAGATTATCCGGTCAGTCAAATTAAATCTTGGGTATAAAACTCAGCTCAGAATCAAATTAGCAGCAGACAGAAGATGTAAAGATATAATATTTTACATTATATATATACGCCCCTCTGCAGATATCATATGAAAATCAGAAAACTGCGTGGAAGTGCTCCATTTTGGAGTAAATAGAGACAATTTAGTGAAGCTCAAAGAGTGTCAAATGCATTAGTCTCAGTACTCAGATCTGAGCACTTGCTGACAAAATGTTTGGTTTATATTGCAGATAATATAGTTTATAATCTTTGCAAATGGCAGTGCTTGTATTTTTCAAATATTTAATAATGTTGTAATTGTTGTTCAAACACACACAGGACTCAAATGCACGATTAAGAGACACAGATGAAAAGTTCAAACAGTTCACCTGTGTGTAAAGGTAGTGCAGGCAAGGGCAGGTAAGGGCTTAGTCGAGGGTTGAAGTCAGCAAAAAAGCAAAATCCAAAAACATATAATAGATCAAAAACTAGCACAAAAAGGCTGAGATGCTAGAGCTGGGATGGCATCGGATAATCCAGCAAGTGAAAGTGGACAGGTACATATACCAGGCAGCTACTGAAAGAATGATGAACAGGTGACTGTGGGGAAATCAGGTGACTGGGAAAACAGGAAGGGCTGGGGTTACTGTAGGGCAAGTGTGAAGGGCAGGGTCTGAAATCACCAGACAGGTTATGAATCAATGCAAAAAAAAAAAAAAAACAGGAAGAAAATGAATGAATGACTTAATGAATTGTGACAGAAATAGATTTTTAGATCTTTTTGTGATGACTTTGCTGGAGCACAAAATGATTTGTTTATCATTTATTTATTTATCCTGTTTATTTGTTTAATTCTTCCTTTTTTTTGTTTCAGTCTTGAAGTCATTGTGGATTTTGTAGTCTCTAATCTAGATCAGAATCTAATCTAGATTACAAACTTAATCCCCGTCATTAAAACAATGCAGAGTCTCGGCCTGTGAGAGGAGGTACCAGTTAATTTGCTTTAGGCTGGGATCAGGCGTAATCTGAGCATCCAGGGAGAACGGTCTGTTGGGTTAAATGATTACATAACTGACGTCTTAGTAGAAAAGCCTCGGAGCCTCAGTGTATCACTGGTTGTACTGGTTGCACAGTTAGAATGAGAGGAGCAGTGATTCAGCTTCATACAGAACTAATGTGATGTGTAAGATATTGACTGTCAGTGACTTTAGCCATTAAATAATCACCTATAAACACATTTTGAAATCTGATTTAAGTTGCAGTTTGCTTTTGGAAGCTAACTTGATCCTTCTTCTTCTTTTGTCATGAAACATGGCTACCGTACTGGAGTCTGTGGATCAAATATTTAAATACATTTCTACTTCATTTCTTTCTTAACTAAGTGTAATAAACTTAAAATAATCATATATTTTCTTTGTCCCTGCAGTGCCAGCTCTCCCAGGCCCTGAACGGTGTCTCTGACAAAGCTAAAGATGCCAAGGAGTTCCTGGTTCAACTCAAGAACATGCTCCAGCAGATCCAGGTACAGTGACACCACTAAACAATAAACAACTCAATTAATGCAGCATTGCAGTATTACACATTCGTTATTCTCGTTGATAACCATAAAAAGGAAAGCACAGATTTCTCCTCGAACAGTGGCCTCAATAGCCCAGAATGCAATGCAACTGCAAAACAAAGGGGTGAGGGGTGTGGTCTCTCATAACACTACAGATTACTTTGCTTTGCCAGAGCTCTGTTTTATTAAGATCATGCAGTGTGAAGGTAACCTAATTGTCTGAACTGAGTAAATCCATATGGGCAATGATTGGAGAAAAAGACGGCATCAGTTCGTTCAGCAAATCCTGGAAAAACAACAGGTGTTTATGTTCATGTGGCCTCTGGGATGACAGGGGTTATCTATATTATGGAGCGACAAAGTCCAAGGGAGTTGTGTTTGTGCCTGATCCTAACCAAACCATTTCCTATTGCTACCTAGCCAACGTTAGCATTAACAGCTCTTTACTTACCAGTCTAGAGGAAACGTTGCAAACTTTATTCCTTTACTCACAGAGAGCTGTCTCCTAATGCTAACTCTTGTTAGCTAGCCCTCGTCCGGTCGGCCCATCTCGTCATTTCCGATTCTGAGTCACCGTAGCGTCCAATCTGCCCTGAAGACGCAGCGCTGCTCAGAGGGCGTATTATAACCTCTTGCATTGTCAACGCAAAGATGGCAGTAGGTCTTGGCAAGACTGGTAAATAAACAGCTGATAATGCTAATGCTAGCTATGTAGCAATAGCAAAACTTACAAAGTACAAAGTTCCTTTAATTTTTAGGACTTGAACTTGGATTTTGAGGGCTGCTCTTCTCTCACTGAGTTGTCATAGTTGCCTAAACTCTACATAACCTTAACTAAAGAGACAACACTCAAGAAAAATACTCAGAAATTGTTTATGTTATGCTCATGTGGCCATCTTCAGGCGCACTGTCAAGGTACGAGGACTCGTACGAGAGGCTGTTTGTATTCAAACAGAAAGCTAACCAGGAGCTGTTTGTAGAGCCAAACAATTTCAACCTTGCAGTATCTCAGCTGCTTCAGGATTTTTTTTTTTCGTTGGATTTTCTCTGGATCTTCATGAGCATGATGAGGCAGAGTTCTGGCTGAGAAGATTTTAACATAACCGATATCCATAGTTGATCAATTTCCCCCCACGTGTAGAGGTCTTTACATAAATTACATGTTTTCCTTAGATAAAATAAATCTTGCTTTTGGCGGGGAGGTGGCGGGGGGGGGACTACTGGTAATAGACAATAAGCTCCAAATAAATCAGTCACACAAACATTTGGCCTCTTCACACTGTGCAGCAGGGAGGTAAATCCACTGACTCACTGAACTAAAACAACCATATCAGCCAAATGTGTAGTGTGTGTATTTATTTGTGTGTGTATTTTCCCTGTGGACAACACTGCAGTGCAGCTGATCTCTTCCTCAGCATCTGCCAGTCATGCACACACTTTCACATACTCACACACACACACACACACACACACACACACACACAGCACACACACACACAACACACACACACACTGTCTGTATATGCACTGTTATATCCTGTCAGCCAGGCATTAAGAGTCTGATTGAAAAATGAAGAGGATTGCATAAAAAAAACTCTTAGCACTGCTTTGCTCTGTCCAGAGAGCAGAGAGAGATGGATGGATAAAGAGAAATAAAAATGTGGGAGTGAGGAATAAAGATCTTCAGCTCTCATCCTCTTACAGATCTGAACTGTGTCCCCCAATGGAGGAAGCTTAATTGGAAATCACTGATATCTAAGACCTCATCTCCTCATCATGTGTGCTCAGATAAAAAGCCCCTGTGGATCCTTAACTTGCAGCTACTGCACAAAGTACAATTTTTGAGGGGCTCCCACACCTGCAGTGTTGTGTCTACAGTCTATTTCTTTGTTCATCAGCTTTCATTGACATAGATTTAAATTCTGACAGACCCTCCTAACTCCCAGCCCCTGAAAATCCCAGTTAAATGATCTTTCAACATATTTTATCTTTGCCTTTAACACTGTTTTGTGCTCACTTTTTATCCTGTAAAGCATCTGAGTGCTACATAAATTATACTTATTATTTAATATGTTATAAATGCCTTTTCTTTTTATATATATTTATATCACATACATATATATACTTTTATACGTATTAATTATTATTTATTAACTTAACATAAATAAATAAATAAGTAAATAATAGATAATTAATGCAACAGATATATACCGAGTGTTTGGCTGAAGCTAATCCTTGTTTAAGTTTTTAAATCCAGATTAAAAGAGTCAAACTATTGAGTTGAGGATAAAAATGACAGGACAGATAAAACAGTCTGTGTATATGCATGTCTACATGTGCATTGATCTTGTGAAGGTTTTCCTGTTCTTCCTCCCTCCTTCCCTCACCCGTCCTCCTGTAGTTGGACTGGTTTAAGGTAATTGTGTTGTCATTTTTACAAGCAGAAGAAATAAAGAAATAAAGACACAAATGAGAGAAAAGCAAATGTATCATAAAGCTCAGCCCCCTTAACTTGATTACTGTCACATTACTGTAAATTCAATAATCAAAACAGGTAAGTTAATCAGCTATAACCAGCAGTACAGTTATATGTGTATAAACTGTATTTTCATGTGACAGCATGGCAGCTGCACAGACGCTAAATGTGTTGTGTATCCTGTATGTTTTTGTCCGTTGAAAACGTTCACACTGATGTTGAGACGAAAATAGAACGAGATAAATTAACATATCAGCTAAAAACACAGGGCAGCTCTGTGCTGCTAAATGGAGCAAAACACACCAACAGATCTATTTACGGACACTGTGGTGATTGAATTATTTGTGACAGAAGCTCATAATGAGAAAGACGATGGCGCATCTTAAAATAGCACGATTTTGACACAAGTTTCCCTAATAATATGATTTCGTTGAGTCAGGGGGAAATCGATTATCACCCGTATGCATGTTTCTTTTTAAGCTTACATTTATGTGTGTGTGTGTGTGTGTGTGTGTGTGTGTGTGTGTGTGTGTGCGTGCGTGCTGTGCTGCTTCAGGAGAACGGTGTTGAGTTTGAGGCCTGCCTCGTGGCTCAGTGCGACTCCCTGATCGAGGCGCTGACCAGACAGAAAGCCAAGCTGCTCACCAAAGTCACCAAGGAGAAGGAGTACAAACTAAAGGTAAGACATAAACTATCAGCTCTGTTTCCATCAGATCGGATTGTGAAGAAATAATAAGAATCACCAAACTGATCCAAGTCATCTCATCTAACTTGCTGATTTCCTAATAACCATCTTGCTTTGAACTGATACTGCAGACAGTTCTCCTGTAACTCCGTTCTTTCTTTTCCGCCTGAGGGGGAGCAGTTTATTTTGGATTATTTGATTTCAAGAAATGGTATTGAAAACTGGCAGCCTGCTTGTCTTTTGGTCTGTCTGTCTGCTCCCACCAACCTGTTTCTCTTCTTTTTCTATTTCTGCAGCAAACTGAAACTTCAGGTCAAAAAGGCTGTTAATCTGTAATAGGAATTTCCAAGGTGAATGTATTGTGTTCCAGTAGATCCAGTAGATAACCTGTAACTCATTGAGAATAATGAAAGTGTTAACTGACGCAGCTTTTGCAGCCTTTACAGTATGGTATTATTATTATTATTATTATTATTATTATTATTATTATTATTATTATTATTATTATTATTATGTGCACCAACATTCGAGACCTTTGTTTGAGGAAATATTGTCTAACTGGACCTTTGAATTTAATTGAATTTCGCAGTCTGCAGTAGATTTTGGAAAAAAAAACATAATCGATAAATAAAAATATTTATATCAATAAATAAGCAACAATCATACTAGAAATATTATTATTCTTATGTTAATAACTCACAAACACTTCCACAAAACAGCTGACAACGTCATAATACTTGTGTTTGGATTTTTATGTTAAGTTCTGATTGGTGCACAAAAATAGCCAACAAGACCTCTCAGACACATCACAGCCAATTGAAATTCCAGAGAAGAGCACAGATAAAACACAAATACAGAGATTTCTGGTGTGAAATAACCAGATCTGCTCTAACTTTGAACGATAACAGTGAGCTCATTGCTTATAGTAAGAAGCTGCTGAAATGATAATACCTGAACAAATTCAGCTCTCAGCTCCTAAACCGAATTATTTTGGTTTAGCGGTCTATTTTTTTAAATTTTTTTTTCACTTTCCTCTGTAAATCCACCGCTGGGGTTTTCCTAAGTCTCAGCGTATCACATGGACGCCTGCCCAGCCTCAACGTGCCCACCGACCGACTGACCGTCTGGATGGTGGCGGGGAGGAAGCAGCGGGGGGAGGGATGTTTGGATGGAAGCCCCAAGGACAGCTGTTGTGATTATCTGCAGGCTGGGGATTGAGATTTAGCCAGAGGGCAAAGAGCTGGAAGGCTGCGACGGAGCCGGGACAGGAGAAGAATAGCTGCTTGTCGATGAGTGATAACTTCAGCAGCATCTTTACGTGAATAAACATTCATTTGCACACAGTGTGTATCAGCAGCTGATTGAATGAGTTGAACTGCAGGCTCCATTCACGTGGAGACATAAGGAAAGTAGAAGAGCTGCGGCTTGAACCAAAATTTGTGACTGAAAGCTCCACATAGATGCTTTTTACAGTTTTACATTACTCTGAGTTGAGTGTGTGGTTTAAGACTCTCACAGCATCCAGACTTCCTTTCAAAATAATGAAAAAGTGAACATCACAGTGCAAAATTTAACCAGGAGTCAGATTTTCACACTACTCCCACACCTCGGAAACAAACTATACAGCTTTTCCATAAATGCATCATTTCGACTGAACATTGCTCGAGTTTGCTTTTGGGACGACTTCAAGTGTGCAAATTATATAACCACAGTTCAACTCTTTCCATTTAAAAGCGCCAGTAGAAGGTTGTAAAAGATGATCTATTTCATATTTTGTTTTTTCAAAAGCACTTACAAGGTTTTTAATCTGTTCTTGTGGACACAGCTCGGACCAGACACAAAAAAACTGACTGTCTCCACCAAGAAACGCAGATGTTTCTAAAATTCACCAAAGCCACAACTTAATCCTTTAAAAGCAACATATTTTCATCTTTCAAAGAACAACTAGAAATGCTTGTTGTATATGTCTGAGTCTGTAATATACGAAGCATAGTTTTCAGATGGTTTCATCAGTTCATTAGTTTGTGTATGAACTGTTCAGAAAGTGAGGTTAATCCAGCAAAATGGAAAGATTTTATTCCATTCACAAAGTTTTCTTTTAATGAACTGAATGATGATACCATGAGAGCACTTTAAACTGATGATGCTGAAATGTAACATTTGTCAACATAAGTATTTGCAATAATGAAATCTAATAAAAATGTCACTGAGATTAAAACTCATTAAAACAAAAACTAGAAACAGTTTAATATAAGGCAGCACAATGTAACATAGGATCAGTGTGGTAGCTGGGTTTCGTAGGTTAATCTCTTCTGAGCCAGTTACTGACCTGTACCAGATACACACATATTGAGGATCCTCACTGACACACACTATCTAGTCCCTAAGGGTCATGCCCTCGTCCCTCTGACCAACTGTTTGCTCTGATCTTAACCATTTCTACCCTAACGCCTAAACCCCGACCACCTTGACCTCGGAGCCTCCCTCGATGTTATGCCCTTGACTGGCAGTTTGCCCTCTGATTAACCGTCTTGTCCTGGAGGCCTGACCCCATTCTGTATCGTAACATTATGAAAGCTGCTCTTATCTTTCTACTCTCTCTACCTAGTTTCACATTCTCACTTTTCAAAAAGTGTCATAATTCTCCAAAAATAACTCTAAAATAATCCCCCCACTTTCCAAAAATATCTCTTTCCAGTGACGTTACACTCCAAAAATATCACCACTTTTTCAAAAATTTCATCACTGTCCAAAAACCTTTTCCAGGGTTATCAAAGAGTTCTCGTAAAGGACATTCAAGAGCACACACACTGAAAAACACAGACACATACTTCAGTTTTAGCTATAATCCAGCAGATGATGGATTAATATTCACTTCTCTCTAACTCGTACAGATGACTGTGTCTGAGTCTTTCTATGAATGAGATTATGGTTCATCCTGTCTCGGTTACTCGCGTCAGACGCTTATATAATCATTTCTTTGGATCAAACCTGTCAGTTTTGTACCAGAACTCATTTTAACTTTAAAGAAATGTTGCATTAAAAAGTGACAACTTAGATACAAAAGAAAGTCTGGTTAACGTTTGTGTTCCTGAATACAGCTGGTACAAAATTCCATTCAATCTCATTGAATTTCCATTCAATACCTTATATAAAGCTCTGCATCAGGTTTTTTTGTACTATGTCATGCCAGTGTAAAAACTGTATTTACCAAAATTGACAATATCAAACCAAAAACAAAATTTGCTCTAACCTGAACTGAAATGTGGTTCAGAGTGTGATGAGGAGCCAGTGATCCACATTCAGAGTGAGCCCATAGTATCTCAGATCTGGCCCTGCATTAACATGTTTCAATATTTGCATGTGATGCACGTGGAGCTCATTGAAAAAGCCCCTCAGACCTTCAGTCTGCAGGAGCCTGTGGCAGGGAGGTGGCAGCTTGTCCCGGTGGGACAGAAGGAAAATTGAAATAAATCGGAGATTTACTCAGGCTGCACGCTCCATACTTCATGTTGTTTACACAGGAGATAAGAAGAGCGAGGTTTTGAATTGAAAAACAAATTTTCTCTTGGTAAATAATTTGAGTGTCTGTGTGTGTATTTTGGTGCATGTGAATTCCAGCTGCATGTTTGTGTTACGGTGACATACAGCTGCAAATATATCATTTCTTTAATTTTTTTCCTCTTTAATGACCTTCCAATGACCTTTGATTCATTAAATATAATTTATATATATATTTATTACATTAATTAAAAATAAATGATTTGCGTGACCAGTTTCATTAATTTAATATGACGTTTATACATTTGATGACTGTGATTGAACCTTGTACACTTTAAAATACACCTGTAGTGGGAAATTTAATAAATGTATGAATCAATTAATTATTTAATAAAAATATAGTGACTGACTAAGTTTATTATAAAGCACCTTTCTAGATCAGGCTAGACAAAATGCTTCAAAGTAAAGGAGAAAAGCAAGACATAAAATACAGAAAAAATAAAAGAATATATGAAATTAAAATGTGAGATAAAAACCTGCTCGTGAACCTGAACCTGCTTGTGCACGCACACGCCCACACAAACACACACACACACACACACTGTACATTGGTTTGATCCTCTCGTTCAGTTGACTTTTGCATGGTCTTCATTTTTCAGTTTAGACAGCACTTGACAGGTGTATAATTAACTTTGATCTCATTAACTATCAAATAAACGAGAGGACTAATTACCAAGACTTCATCTAATTATCTCTCTCATTCATTCATTCATTTAACGGTATAATTAATTATCTTGGATACACCAACACCACAAAACACTTTCTTTATAATCTCTCTGAAAAGTTGATGTATTTGCCATGTTCACATTCGTGTACGTTACATGTTATAAACATGTATCAGTTGTACTTTGAGCAGGTAATTTAAAATCACTGATCAGTTGAAATGTTGTGCAGGTGTGACTGAATGTAAACAAAAGGCTAATAAGGCGGAGACAGTTCGCTGACTTTCAATTAGCCTCCAACGACTGGTTGTGACACTCGTCCAAATCTCATTTCCCTTCTGCTGGGAGTTCAGCCAGCAGATAGACGTGTGACATGTGTGTGTGTCTGTGTTTGTGTGTGATAGTGTGCCAGGAATACTATGGGATTTTGAGAGATCTGTTCCAATCATGTCCCGAGCCAGTTTTTAATTTTTGCTCCTTTTTCCTGTCTATGTTTCCTGCCAGCCACTAACTCACCTGTCGTTCCAGCCATCTTCAATCACCCATGTCTGCACGTCTGCTCTCCCTTTCCCTAATTACACTCCTAGCAGCATATGAGACTGAGAAGCAGTGCAGTCCAGAGTAGCTGCCAAACCAAATCTTTCTGTGCGCTTCATGTCACATATTTAACATATCAGCTGCTCTCACCTCATTTTCTCTTTGTGTTATTACTGAATTACCTCCTTTGGACACTGATTCCTCTAGCTGAACTTGATTCGGTCATGCTGGGGTTTTGTTTTTTTTTTTTTACATAGTGGCCATGGCTGGGAATCCTGGTTAAATGTTCTGTAAACAATCGTCACTGCCACTAGATGTGGCACTAGACCATCAGCATCTCAGACCAAAACAAATACCTTGTCTGCCATAAAGTGTCACAAAGCACAGTGAAAGTGGCCACTAAACACATCGAGAAGCACTAACTGAATAAATTTACCCTGTGTCCATGACAGCCAACAAACAATCCAGACACAACCGTTAGCCCACGCTAGCATTGCTGTGATCCAAAGCTCCAAAGCAATGCTGACAGTTATCCAGCTAGCGATAGCGACATTTGCCAAACAAATTTGTAATATGGGTAACAGCAAGTTAGCTTATGTTATCATGTCTACTGTATCTGGTCACTAATGTAAACATACATGTGACCTTATGTACCCATCAAGTTACTTACACATTGAGGAATAGAAAAGTCAGTTCTGAGTCAAGCTGTCGTCCTTCAGGAGCTTTTAGGTCTCTCCATCTCGGTAAAGGCAGACCAGTATTAGCTCCACGGTTGGACTGGGAAAGAAATTCAGCCTTGGACTTATCTGCTGGGACCGGCTGTACGAATGACACTGACAGAGTGGTAAAAGACTTATAGATGTTTTGACGGTCCACCGGCTGACTGAGATTTGAACCAGTAGTCCCCATGGCCAGTCCTCCTGTGCCGCTGGTCTGATCTCTTTCTTTGTCAGAGCCCTTTTTACTTGAAAATGTAGTTTCTTCAGTGGAGGAAATTCACCTGAATGCTGTGTGCCATATCGCTTGCATGCGGTCCCTGCATCTTTATAAAAGTGGGGAGGACCACTGTTTAAGCTGGGGGGACTCTCATGCACTAACAAGCACATGCTACCAGACTGGATACCAATTTCTCTGCTCTGTGTCTTTCTCAGGTGGTGCGTGACCAGATCACCCACTGCACCATGAAGCTACGTCAGACCACAGGTATGATGGAGTACTGCCTGGAAGTCCTCAAAGAGAACGATCCCAGTGGATTCCTCCAGGTATGTGTGTGCAGTTGTGTGACTGTGTGTTATGAAATCCAGATGAACTAAAAATGTCTTTGTAGAAAATAAGTTGTGTGAGTTTTACCCTCCACTTGTAGGAAAGCTGCAAGATCGACATTTCATGAGCTTAAAAAACAGCCCTATTTCAGCTTTGTGATGATAGATTTTTAAGTTTCAGTCCAACAGGTTTTTAAACTGTTTCAACAGCTCAACAGGGAACATGTAATCCTTACATTTATCTGAAAGTTTCAAAATCACTAAATTTGAAGACACGTGGTTTTCACAGGACGGGGATGAAAAGTGTGAAAGACTGGCCTTGCTTTTAACTATTTATAAGTACAATATCTATGAAGATACTAAAAACAGCAATTAATTTATCCACTCAGCAGGAGTTGCCATGTTGTCTCTGTGCCTTAGAAATTAATTTTCATACACAAACCATTAAAACCAGACATGAAAGAACCAAACAAATCAGTGGGGTTCTGTGGTACAGGGGCAATATCAGACTGTGGCACAATGAATCCACTCTTTGTTTTAATCCCTTCAGGGAAGTTGATCATCATGGAACAACAGCCCTCGCCTTTAAAACTACGTACTTTAAACCATGACTTAAGTTTCTTAGATTATACACAAGGCAAAAACAGTATGGGGTCTCACATTAGAAAAATCTACTTGAATCAACATCTTTTTCGAAGTATTTACAACCAAAAAAAAAATGTCAATGTGAAAGTTGAAAGGAAGGAGGAAATGTGATACTTATTTTCACTGAGCTTGTGAGGAGAAATCTGCTTTGCAGGAAGCCTCTGATGTTTCTGACGCCAGCACAGATTAAACTACTGTACAGTGCTGATGTGAGAGCAACAGCAACACACCACATGCCGTCCTGCGCTCATGCACAAACACGGAGCAACACGGGATGCATCTGATCTGCTTCAATACTGCAGCTGATCATTTTTAATTGACTCGACATGTTTAGTTATCAGCAGGCTCAGATGTTCAACACAGCTGACCGATAGTTATTGATCTGTGTATATTTAGGCCAAACAGAGAAAGGTCAAATGTAACGTGCACCTGCGTAGACGAAAGATGTAAAAGTGAAGGTTTAACCCTAAGGTGTTTGGGGTCTAGGAGACGCTGGTTCCTCTTTAACAGCTCAGAAACACACTTCACATTGTTTTATCACCTTGATTCACGACAAATTGCTGTCTGAATGACCCCAACTGTAAAACATGGTTAAATACAATGGATTTTTTGTATATGCTCTATATCTGTGATCAGAGTTTGCTGCTCCTTTTATGCGGCACATTCATTTCCAAATCCCAAATAAGTCTATTTGGATTTCTCTTATTGGAATTTTAATCCTCTCTGGGCCCAAACATACAGTAAGTAACGTGACTATGTATGATAACATACTATACATGTCTGTCAATTTGAAAACAAAAGGAACACACATATACAAGTAGTTCCATATTATCACCTTCATCACTTTCTTGTAAAAGAGATTCCTGATAAAATAAAGGAATTGATAATAATAATAAAAATAAATTATTATTAATAATAATAATAATAATAATAATAATAATAATAATAATAATAACAATAATAAAATGTGCAAGAACCCTTTGTGGCATCTGGAAACATTTACCACTCGAGTAGTTCTCTACAAATATTATTTTTAACTGTACAATGTTAATGTGTGTGGGGCCTCAATTGAATTAAAACAATGGTTAAATGACAAAGGAGAAGAACTACTTCCTATGCCACACATAGTCTTTTTCTTCTGCAGCCACGTAGCTACATTTACAATATGGCTATTTCCATTTCTGTTGTGTCTTTGCTTCTGGTTATGAATGATTTCTCTTCCTGTATAGTGATAGCACAAGAGAAATAGAGTTAAGGTTAAAGGGAGAGATGAAGTAGAGATCAAAGACACTCTCGAGGGACACGCACATCCTCTCTCTTCTGTTTCATCTGAATATTTAATAATGTATTGATTATGTTTTTCTATATGGTTGCCAGTTCCTAAATACAAAGTAGAGTCTTCTCAGAAATCAAGGGTGGATTTGATTTTAATGCTAAATATAAGCACAGGAACATTTGTAATTTCGACTGATCTGAAGTGGGGAAAATGAAGTTAAATAAGACATCTATGTTCTTAATGCTCGAGGCTGAATTTCCAAATCCTCTGCTCGTGTTTTGACTTTAAAGAAAAAGAAAATAGCAATCAGGTTATTTGCAGTTGAGCGTAGTTTAATGTAATGCATTCACTTAGCTTTTTTTCTGGGACAGTGAAGCTCTTACCAGGAGATGAGAGGTCTAATTCGTATCCTTAAATATTTGAACTGCACTAATGCTTGCCCCATTTCACATGTCGGACACAATGTAATGAAGCTACGGATGGAACAGATCCCAGAAGAGAAGCTGCTCTGTATGCAGCGAGGGTGTCACAGCCCTGCAAGCATATTTAAATGTAGATGTTGAACGCATGTGCTCACATTTCCTGTGTGTTTATGTGTGTGAACATGTCTTTTCCTGTGGTAATTTTCACTATATAATGTGTGTGTGTGTGTGTGTGTGTAGATATCTGATGCCCTGATCAAGCGGGTGACGTCGTCTCAGGACCAGTGGGTAAAAGGCGCACTGGAGCCAAAAGTCGGCCCCGAGTTTGACCTCACCCTCAACACCGACTCACTGCTCCAGACCATCCTGCAGCTAGACTTCTGCCAAGGCAAAGGTGAACAAACAAAAATACACACTTTCCCTTTTATTGGCATTTTTTAACATATTTTACAACAATATTTGAGTCATGACTGAAGCATAGATTATTATGTGTTTATGTGCAATATGCCTTTTATTCTAATCTGTATTCTATTTTTTAACCCTGTCTTCTTTTATTTTAAACCAATATAACCTGACTTTTAGTCCCTGGGTCAAGCTCCAAAAACACTGGATCCTACATATCCCATAATGCAAATCAATATTGTCATTATGCATTCATCGTTGCAGTCAGTGTTAAAGGATCTACTTTATATACAGTTTATTTGTATCACTGTTTACCCACCGCTCCAAATATATGACATCGCAAAAGTAGCTGATTTCGGCCAATTAAATTATGTAATTAGCAGAGGAGGCAGCCATCTTGGAATAATGCTTGAACTCTCACAAGTCAGAAATAACATAAGGTTTTCATGGTGGCAAATAAACTGTGAAGAACTGTTTTCACGGGCTGAGTCGTAATCTGCATGATCAGTAAACTGAATGTCGTGTAAAACTGGAGTGCATCTTTAAACAGGCTCTATGAATAAGTCAACTTGACATGTGCAAACAAACATCCCTGATCTGAGGTAAAAAAATACCCCTTCATGATATATTTGATAATCAATTAACATTTAGTCGCTGTTATTTCTTCCCTTTTTGAGGTCTCCTTAAGATGTACAGCAATGTACACACAACTAATTAGCTATTCATTGGCTGTTGCTACCCAGCAACCAGTTGGCGTGCATGAGTAAACATAGCATCCTTTATATTCATTCCGCTGCAGCAGAAGAGATTGCCCAGATGTATTGTTAATGTACATTAAATATGTAATCAGCACTATGCATATTTTATTTCCATAATGCTCCAGTGAGGCAGTAAAGATGAGCTGTTTTCTTGTGCTGATGTGGATTCAACCTGGTCATTTTAATGAAAGAGCAAATAATTCCCATTATTCTCTCGTATCAATCCTTAACACTTAAATATTATACAATATATTATATTATCATATAATGAATATATTGATCCAATACAGCATTTATTCAAAATACATTGTGATTGCAATTATTACAAATTTATTAAAAGCATGATGAAATTATATTCAGTTTAGTGCTGTGTAATTAATATTCATAGTGTTAATATAGTTATTATGTGTTTAATGGGTTTATAATACGAAATCCTGTTTGGTTGTCAATGGAGCCAAATTCCTCTAAAGTGGCAACCTTGATATCTGAGATACAAAAACTCTAACTCGTAAATGAAGATTGTGAGCCAGATCGGCAGGTCATTGCCCTGGTTGTGTTATACTATAAGGAGACTTTCTCTAATTTGAGCTTGGGTTGATCTAATCTGAAAAGGCTCAGAAAGGCTTTGATCGTCCCTCCTTTGTTCTTTGAGGCCGGTGACATGAAACTCATCTGTACGTTTCCCCACCTTCAATTCCACTGATCATCCAGAACAAAGCGTTAAGAGTTTAAAGATAGAACATTCGATTTTTATCTCTTTGAATTTAAGTCTTAGACATCCTGATCACAGTGTAAGAGGTATTGTAGTTCACAAACGCGCCCTGACTTAATTCATCGTCAATGAGTTTTCACATGGACTTAAAATTAAAATGAAATAAAATAAAATTCTGCTGCTGACTATTGGAGACCATTGTATTTCTATTTCTAATTTTCTGTTTTTTGTTTGTTTGTTTATTGAATTTAAATTCTTTTACTGACCTAGTTATGTCTTACTGAACAGCGAGGTCAGTCTCTTTTCTCTTGCAATGGCTAAAACGTATATATATATACATATATATATATATATATATACAGTATATATAAGTCAAGCTGAGATACCATCACATCCTTGAAAAGAGCACTACACACACAAATACTAATCATGACCAAACCTTCAACTTTGTACTTTAAAGTCTCTGTAGTTGCAGCGTTTTCTGATCCACTGTCAGATATTTGGGTGAAAAAAGATATTTGTGTCCCAATATACAGACGATACAACGTTTTATGATGATGAAACTTTGTGCAATGCTTATATCATCTTCCAAAAATAACTACATTTTCTGTGAATGATAATCACCTGACCTAGAAGTCAGTAGTGAAAATCATGAAATTTACATATCATTTGCATATGAAAGATCATAAGGCTGTATTTTTTTAACCACCATTAGGGAGATGGATCTTTCATCATGTTTCCATTGCAATCAATCTAAATTTCTCCATTCATCTCACTGTCACTTCCAGCTGCTTTAATATGCCATCTTCTGTCCATGTGCTCTTGTATTAAAACACCCAAATCAACGTCACACTTCCAGATGTGCAGGAGAGTCCGTTATTGAAACAAATGCAGGCAGCAGGAAGTGGTGAGGCTGAGATGGAGACAGAGAGCCCAGGAGGTATTTCAGAGAATCTACTTTCTCAAAGTAAACCTCTGTCTTCCTTCTGTGAATTTATTTTGTCACTCCTTCCTTCTCCCCCAGTCCCAGTAGCCCTCACAGCCATTCTGGTTGGAAACTCATCGGTCTCTATGTCCGACAGCGTCTATCTGGTTTCTTTCCTCTGCATGGTTTTTGTTTTCCAGCACCTCTGCAGAATAGCGATGCCTTCACTGGGGCACAAAGTTTCCAAAAACTCTATTTGTAGTCTGAAGTACTTCTCTTTTTCCCAAACCAGCCTTCCTTGCATTGCACTGTTGCATTTTCTCCTCTGTAAGCAGAGGAACTATATATTAAACATAACTCACCGAACAATTAATTTTCATATCTTGTCTTCAAGATAATGCAGTGTACCAGATTTAGCCACTTACCAGACTATCTAATGTGAACTCCAGAATAGTAATAAGTAGTAATACAAGGATTTAAAGCATATGAAAGGATAGCATCCTGACGCAAAGAGAATAATTGAAAATGATATAATTTAAAGTAGTTGACATTTTCTGATGGTTGTGTGTGAATCAAAGAACTACTTTGGCTACAAATAATGTGAAAAATATTGAATTTAAATACTGATATTGATATCTACATGGTTACTGCATAGATCCTACAGCACTGTTCCTTATGTCCTGACTGCTGCCTTTCCCCTGTGTCTTCACTACTGTTGTTTTTTTGTCTTGAAAGATCAGAGTGCCAACGGATAAAGTCAAGCTATGAAGCAGACTTCATTACCCTTAGATCTGCCTTAAACAAAATCTCTACTTCAGTGGTTTTATTTTTATTCTGTTTGTTTCAGCTCCTTTTGGAATGCAGTTTTGTCTTGTTTGTTAGCACAAAGTTTTATCACTTCAAGGGTTAGACAGATATATTGCTTTTTTTTTTTTATCAAAAATGTCTTTGATACAAAGCTGGTTCCTTCCTTTCTTGACTTTCCTAACCAGCCAAGAATCCTGTTTCCATAAGTGATTAATTCATTTTGAACTGTTTATTCAGTGTGTCCTTCAGTTGGGAGTTTTTATCTCAAGGCGTCACAGCTTATATCGGTCCAACACTACACACCACTAGCACTACTACTTCTATAGTGGGCATAATGTCCTCACATGGCCTACTTAAAGCCTCCACAGCTGTTGCCCTATAAATGAACCCGGAGCTCTTTCACCTTTAAGGCTTTTTTTTTATCCCACTAGATTCACATTAAAGCTCCTGTTTCTCTCCCTTCAGTTTATTTACAACCAGTCAGATCCCTCTGTTTGTCTTCCTCCTCTCATCATCCACCTCTCCCTCCTTCTACACTTTCTTCTTTAACCATCTTGATCTCTCAATCGCCACGCCTCCATCCTCCCCCAATCACAATCTTTACGTCTCATCCATCCGTACACCTCTCCTCACAGTGGAGATCGGGCCCTCGGTGCCGGCGGCTCCTCTCCTGCAGCTGGAGAAGTGCTGCACCAGGAACAACAGCGCCACCCTGGCCTGGAGAGTAACTGCATCCCCTGGCAGCCCCATCGAGGGCTACATCCTAGAGTTGGACGATGGCAACGGAGGACAGTATAGGGTGGGTACAAACACACACACTGGTACAGAATACGCACTTTGTGTGAAAGTATGCAGCTTCCTCTCTTTTAAATTGTATTATTAATTATCCATATGCTGCTCAACTCTGATAACAGCCAGATGGTTGTGTGTGTGTGTGTGTGTGCGTGTGAGAGATGTGTAGTTGAGTATATATGTCATCAGCAAAGAAGCATTTTAAATGTCTGAGTACTTGTTCTACAATTGTAACTACTAATACTTGACAATGAGATGTATAATTGATGAGTTTGAGCAGCGGATTTATAGAATACGCATGTGCATGCACTTGACCTGCATATGTAATGACACTGAAGTGTGTGTGTCTACTCTCAGGAAGTCTATGTAGGGAAGGAGACTGTGTGTACGGTGGACGGCCTCCATTTTAACAGCGCCTACAATGCCAGGGTGAAAGCCTATAATGCCATCGGCGTGGGGCCCTACAGCAAGACGGTTGTACTTAAGACCTCTGATGGTAGGTCTTGAGTGTGTGTGTGTGTGTGTGTGTGGGTCCTAGCTTTGCTGCCAGCTTGCCAAATTGGCACAGAGTGGCTTCACCATGAAAGGGCAGTGTCTCCTGCTTTGTCTGTGTTGTTTGTCTTGTTTCCGCACAGAACAGTTGTGTTTGTGTTGATCTTTGTAAAACAGGTGTCATCATGTAATTTCATTTGTTCTTGTTCTGTGAGACTACATTTTTCTGTAAGGTAAGGACAAGAAAAGGAAATGAAAGGAAACTAAAGGCAAGAAAAAGAAAGAAAAGGAAAGGAAAGGAAAGGACTAGTGGACAGAAAGAACATAAAGGAAAAAGCAGGAAAGGGAGCGAGAGAAAAGGGAAAGAGCAGAGTGGAGAGGAAAAAGAGAACAAGAAAAGAAAGTGGAGGAGTAGATGAGAAATAAAGGGCAAGGGAACGAAAAGGCAAAGGAAAGGGCAGAAAAGGAAAAGAAAGGAAAGGAGGGGAGTGGAAAAAAGAGAGGTTGCTAAAGAGGAAGAACAGAAAAGAGAGGACAGGAAAGAAAAAAGGTAAAGGAGTGGACAAGAAAGAAAAGGAAGGGAAGTAAAAAGGAAAAAGCCAAAATATGGAAAGAATGAAAGGAAATAGGAGGGAAGGAAGGGAAGGGAGAAGAGGAAAAGAAAGGAGGAGTGGACAAGAACAATAAGGAAGAGTAATCTTCCATAAACACAGTGGGGCGAGGGTGGAGAGTTAACACACACACACACACACACACACACACACATACAGTCATAGTCTCTCTTTGCCAACGACAAAAACAATGGGCATTAGAGTCTGTTTTCTGACTGATAACCGTTCCCATCCCATCCGTCCTGTTTTTATTTCACTCTGTCATCTTTCTTCCTGCCTACTCTCTCTCTCTCTCACTCTCTCTCCCTCTTTCTCCCTCTCTCCTCACCATTCCTCCTCAGTTCTCTCTCTTTTTCTTTGAGGGTTGTAGCTTCCCACAGCTTCACACAGAGAGGAAATTGTACTTGTCGAGCCGACAAAAGGCTGGAAAACAAACATATACTTTGATGTACAACTTTACAAATGGACATTTCTGCTATAAGTCTGGTGGTGTGTGTATGTGTGTGTGTGTGTGTGTGTGTGTGTCTGTGTGTGTGTGTGTGTGTGTGTGTGTGTGTGTGTGTGTGTGTATACTTTTACCCCGAAGCTAAACTCATTCACACATTCATGTCCTGAGGCATTACATTGTATAAAATTGTTAGACATGGATTTCCATACACAAGTCTGTGTGGAAGGAAGAAGGAACCAATGGCTAATACTTTTATTATCCAATATATATACATATATATATATATATATATATATATGTGTGTGTACATTGGTTATGTTTAATATTATCATCTTATTATTTGGCTAAGTAGGTTATAAATGGAATGTGGATTAGATCTTTCAATTAGCTTTTTAAAAGGCTGTTAATTCTGTACTACCAGGTCATGTAGGGAATATTTGATGCTGACAGAAGATGAAGATTAATCTAAAATACCAGCTAATGTTTGTTCAATCACAGTTGAGACTTTTACATATTCGGGACACCTTGTACAACCACAATGTCTGAGGCTGAATTATTTCTTCTTTATCAAAACAAATCAGTTTAGACATTGACAAAGATTAGGACACATTTGTCATTTCCTTTCAATTTCCGTGAGCATAATTTGTGTAAAATGTCAGTTTTTGTTCTAAGGGGTGTCAGTTTTTCTTGTTACAGCATACAGTAACTTATTAATAAAAAAAATATTTAGTTACAGGAAAATGTTCTACTTATGAAAATAGATTTAGCAGATTTTTGTTTCTCACATCAGCAAAAAAAAAGTTTTTATTCATAGTTCAGGATGGAAATCCCACGACAAACCTACAGGATGTTTAGCAGTTCAGGTTCTGCTAGCATTGTGGACAGAGCTGCTTTAATGGCTTTCATGTATGTTTGGGAAAACACAGGTGTGAAACCGAAGTGTGTATATGTATAGTTGTACTTTTCATTTAGTACATTTTTGATGTACAGACATCATTACTTTGATAATACTATAGGCTGCTAATAGGAATTAAACATACAGACTACACGGGTCTTCATGGTGTCTTTTTGTGTCTTTTAATAACCCTCCGTTCAAAACATGAATAAGAGCAGGCATCATGACTGACTGTTATTTTCCTATCACAGTGGCATGGTTCACCTTTGACCCCACCTCGGCTCATCGGGACATTGTTCTGTCCAATGAAAACCAGACAGTCACCTGTAACAGCTACGATGACCGTGTGGTGCTGGGAACCGCTGCTTTCTCTAAGGTGAATGTTCACACACATTTGTCTCTGAGGGGAATATTGATATTGAGTTTCACACCACATTTATTACCTATTGACCTTTTTATAAGTGGATGAGATTCACACAGATTCACAGACACATTAACAAGATTTATAACATTTATTCCGTTTCCCCCTTTGAATTTCAGGGCATCCACTACTGGGAGGTCTGCATCGATCGCTATGACAACCACCCGGACCCTGCGTTTGGCGTGGCGAGGATCAACACCATGAAAGACATGATGTTAGGGAAGGACGACAAGGCGTGGGCCATGTATGTGGACAACAACCGCTCCTGGTTCATGCACAACAACTCCCACACCAACAGGTAGGTGTACACTGTACTGTGAGTTTGTTATTTAAGTTTTTACTGTCTTCGTGTTTGTCATACTGTAAGCAGAGAACACTGACTAGTTGATGTTAAACAGAAAATTAGATATCAGTCCCTCTAAATACACACTGACATTTACATGCACACACAATAACTTCAGACTCTTTCACATCGTTTGGCGTCATTCTCTAAAAATGTAAAACTTCAAACCAAATACTTTGTTATAATGTTGATTTAAGACTCTCCTCTGTAGCTGTTCTGGAGCCTTCAGCTATGTAGATGTTTATTTATCATTGTTTCCCCCTTTAGCACTTAAGAACTTCTCTTCTGAAAGTTCAATCACCTTTTTATTTTTAAGATGGATGAGAAGTTCTCAGATCATCTACAGTGACATGACAGCTGGGCAGCTCCATCAACTGAAGAAGATCATGTGAAACAGCTGAAAGCTTCAGAACAGCCACTGAGGCCCTTTTCAGACCTGGTGTTAACATGCGTATCCAGTGACCACTTGTGATCAGACCTCACTTCTTCACTTTATATGCAAATAGCAACGTATGCGTTGTTGTTTTTAGCCAATCTGGCTATGACAGATGGGTCTGTTGTCAATGAGAGAGAGAGAGAGAGAGAGAGAGAGAGAGAGAGAGCGGGGCAAGGATACGGTGGCCCAGAGAGCTCAGCACAANCGTATGCGTTGTTGTTTTTAGCCAATCTGGCTATGACAGAGGTTACGGCAAGGATACGGTGGCCCAGAGAGCTCAGCACACTGCAACTTAAGAAAACACATGCAAATAACGTGCTGCAAATTCAGAAAACATCTTTATCAATTTGACAACACATGCACTGCAAACGGGTACTCACTCTTGGCTTTGCCTATTCGCATGATAAGCTATATAGCCATGGAATCTTCAAGGACAAGAAAACCGTGTTGTCCTTCACCACTGGTTCTCATGAGTCCATGTTCAGTGCAACCCCCCCCTTGACAACACATGCACTGCAAACGGGTACTCACTCTTGGCTTTGCCTATTCGCATGATAAGCTATATAGCCATGGAATCTTCAAGGACAAGAAAACCGTGTTGTCCTTCACCACTGGTTCTCATGAGTCCATGTTCAGTGCAACTGGCATCAGTTGTGAAGGTGTGAATACTGATTGTACCATTTTTCATTGCCAACAAACGTCCAAGGTTGTTGGGTCTTGGCGGGTTTTTTGACCAGTGGAAAAGGAACTTTAAATGGACACAATACCTAACATTACTCTGTTAAAATGAGTTTGCTCTAAGCTCTTGATACAGTGTGTGAATCTTTCTGCCTTTTTTTTTTTTTGCCTTTGGGTTGTTTTGGATCCAA